TGGAGGTAAATTTCAGGCAAAAATTGGTATGATAAGAAACAAAGACGGCAGGGACCTAACAGAAGCTGAAGAGATCAAGAGAAGGTGGCGAGACTATACAGAAGATCTGTATAGGAAGGATAATAATATTGAGGATAGTTTTGACGGTGTGGTGAATGAATTAGAACCAGACATCCTGAGGAGTGAGGTTGAATGGCCTTAAGAAGCATTGCTAACAACAAGGCAGCAGGAGACGACGGGATCCCAGCTGAACTGTTTAAAATCTTAAAAGATGATGCTGTCAAGGTGATGCATGCCATTTGCCAGCAAATATGGTAAACACAAGAATGGCCATCAGACTGGAAAAAATCAACTTATATCCCCATACCAAAAAAGGGAAATGCGAAAGACTGCTCAAACTTCCGTACAGTGGCCCTTCTTTCACATGCCAGTAAGGTAATGCTCAAGATCCTGCAAGGAAGACTCCAGCAATACATGGAGCGAGAGTTGCCAGATGTTCAAGCTGGGTTTAGAAAAGGCAGAGGAACGAGAGACCAGATTGCCAATACCCGCTGGATAATGGAGAAAGGCAGGGAGTTTCAGAAAAACATCTATTTCTGCTTCATTGACTATTCTAAAGCCTTTGACTGTGTGGATCATAATAAATTGTGGCAAGTTCTTGGTGGGATGGGCATCCCAAGCCACCTTGTCTCTCTCCTGAGGAATCTGTACAAGGACCAAGTAGCAACAGTCAGAACTGACCACGGAACAACAGACTGGTTCAAGATTGGGAAAGGCGTACGGCAAGGCTGCATCCTCTCACCCAACCTTTTTAACTTGTATGCAGAACACTTCATGCGATGTGCGGGGCTGATGAATGCAAAGCTGGGGTGAAAATTGCTGGAAGAAACATTACCAACCTCAGATATGCAGATGACACCACTCTGATGGCCGAAAGCGAGGAGGAGCTGAGGAGCCTTCTAATCAAGGTGAAAGAAGAAAGCGCAAAAGCTGGGTTGCAGCTAAACGTCAAAAAAACCAAGATTATGGCAACAAGAATGATTGACAACTGGAAAATAGAGGGAGAAACCGTGGAGGCCATGACAGACTTTGTATTTCTAGGTGCAAAGATTACTGCAGATGCAGACTGTGGCCAGGAAATCAGAAGACGCTTACTTCTTGGGAGGAGAGCAATGTCCAGTCTCGATAAAATAGTAAAGAGTAGAGACATCAGACTGGCAACAAAGATCCGCCTAGTCAAAGCCATGGTATTCCCTGTACGGATGTGAGAGCTGGACCTTAGGGAAGGCTGAGCGAAGGAAGATAGATGCTTTTGAGCTGTGGTGTTGGAGGAAAGTTCTGAGAGTGCCTTGGACTGCGAGAAGATCCAACCAGTCCATCCTCCAGGAAATAAAGCCCGACTGCTCACTGGAGGGAAGGATACTAGAGACAAAGTTGGATGTCTTTGGCCACATCATGAGGAGACAGGAAAGCCTAGAGAAGACAATTATGCTGGGGAAAGTGGAAGGCAAAAGGAAGAGGGGCCGACCAAGGGCAAGATGGATGGATGGCATCCTTGAAGTGACTGGACTGACCTTGAGGGAGCTGGGGGGGGTAACGGCCGACAGGGAGCTCTGGCGTAGGCTGGTCCATGAGGTCACGAAGAGTCGGAGACGACTGAATGAATGAACAACAACACTTGGTCAAAATCTAGGCGAAAGACTACTCAGGTAAAATCTAAAATACAAACATGTGCAGGGCTACTCCAGCATAAATCCCAGCAAGTTCAAATAATTTAATCTAAGAACGACTTAATTTAACCTAAGAAGGCTTTGTTGCACAACAGTATTCCAACAGCGACACGTCACTCTAACTTTTGTATCGCAAACAGCTGCTCCCTCCTCCCCCATGCTGTAGCCATACTGTGTGATACTCAAAGATTTCATGAGTGGGGAATCCTCTTCTTAAACAATTAGGACCAATCTAAACATTAGAAATAATAAATTAATAATGCAGAGACCAATCTGAAGGACTTCTTCTACATCCATAGTGACTGAATACATCTTACTTAATGCTGGAACACCAGAACACATTATTGGGTGCTGTTTAGTAAGGGAACACACCTTGTGAATGATGCAATGTGGGACAAGTTGAACTATGTGGTGCACAAAGTAGGACTGCCAGAAGTTCCCCACACACTACTATTATTTAATTAATCTCCTCCACTACTGCAATCCTCTTTCCTTGTGTGTCGTGTCCTTAGATTATAAGCCTGAGGGCAAGAAAGTGATTTTTTCTTGTCCTTTTTCTTGCAAAGCACCATGTGCAGTTATGGCAATAGTAATAATAGTAGTAGAAATCATGTTGATGATAATACAGTAGATGCTCAATTAACCCGAACTCAATTAACTGAACTCTCATGTTGGGGAGATAGGGCGGAATATAAATAAAATTTTGCAATTATTATCTCAAGCAACTGGCAATCTTTAAAACTTAAATTGCATACTGCACTCACAAAGCTGTTTTTCAAATACAGTAAAACAGTGTTACAATAAGTCTGTCTTTTTATTTGCTTTTAATTACTGTATTTAAATATTAATATGCAAATGGAAAGGAAAAGAAATGTAGTTTATCTGAGTGTGAACTCAGATAACCCAACTCAAAGCAGATACTGTGGGATTTTCTGCCTTGATATTCTGGGGGCCCTTCCACACAGGTCTATATCCCAGATTATCAAGGCAGGAAATCCCACATTATCTGAGTATGGACTCAGATAACCCAGTTCAAAGCAGATATTGTGGGATTTTCTGCCTTGATATTCTGGGATATAGACCTGTGTGGAAGGGCCCCCAGTTCAAAGCAGATATTGTGGGATGTTCCGCCGTGATATTCTGGGTTATATGGCTGTGTGGAAGGGCCCACACTACTATATATTCCAGTTCAAAGCAGATAGTGTGGGATTTTATTCAGCTGTGTGGATGGGGCCCCAGGCTGGCCCTATATCCCAGGTTCTGATCCTAGGTTTTCTGCTTTAAACTGGTTTATATGCATCTGCAGTGCCAGATAATCTGCGACAAACAGAAACGTGGATTCCGATTCTGGGACATAGGGCCTGTCTAGGGCCTCTTCCACACAACCGAATAAAATCCCACATTTTCTGCTTTGAACTGGAATATTTGGCAGTGTGGACTCATATAGCCTTGTTCAAAGCAGATATTGTGGGATTTTCTGCCTTGATATTCTGGGTTATATGGCTGTGTGGAAGGGCCGTTATATAATCCAGCTGAAAACAGATAACCTGGGACCAGATCCTGGGATAGAAAGACTTTTGATGACAGTATTCCCAGTCCTGTCTACTAGATTGTTGCACTTTCCTTGCGCTCCCTTCAGGATGTATTGCACTCCTTGTGCCTGAACCTCAGCTATGTTCTTTTCCTCAATAATTTGATGTTGTTTACAATTGTGATTATTTTAATATTGTATCTGCTGTTTTTAATTGGTTGTGTTCTACTTGTAATTTTTGGGCTTGTCCCTTGTAAGCTGCCCCAAGTCCCCTTGGTGAGATGGTTAGCAGGGCATAAAAATAAAGTTATTTTTATTACTAGCCATCCCCTGCCATGTGTTGCTGTGGCCCAGTCTGTGTATGTGTTTTGTATGTGCATATATGTGTATATGTGTGTGTATATATTTGTGTGGTTATCCATAAATACACATGTAGTTATGTCGGGGGGCCCAGTGGCGCAGTGGGTTAAACCGCTGAGCTACTAAACTTGCTGACTGAAAGGTCGCCCAGTCTGTGTATGTGTTTTGTATGTGTATATGTGTGTGTATATATTTGTGTGGTTATGCGTAAATACACATGTAGTTATGTCGGAGCCCACAGTGGCGCAGTGGGTTAAACCGCTGAGCTACTAAACTTGCTGATTGAAAGGTCGCAGGTTCGAATCCGGAGAGTGGCATGCGTTCCCGCTGTCAGCCCCTAGCAATTTGAAAACATGCAAATGTGAGTAGATCAACAGGTACCTCTCTGGCGGGAAAGTAATGGTGCTCCATGCAGTCATGCCGGCCATGGAGGTGTCTATGGACAACGCCGGCTCTTTGGCTTAGAAATGGAGATGAGCACCAACCCCCAGAGTTGGACACGACTGGACTTAATGTCAGTGGAACAATGTGGTTATGTGCATGCGTTGTAATATTTTTTATATATATTGGCTTTTTAAGTATCTTCTGTGTTTTTCAGTGTTTCTATGAGCGATGGTCACTTGTTGGCTTGATAGGTGTATTGTGTCCAAATTTGGTGTCAATTCGCCCAGTGGTTTTTGAGTTATGTTAATCCCACAAATGAACATTACATTTTTATTTATATAGATGATGGATGATAAAAGGGGACTGAGGCCCCTTCCACACAGCTAAATTAAATCCCACATTATCTGCTTTGAACTGGAATATATGGCAGTGTGGACTCAGATAAACCAGTTCAAAGCAGATATTGTGGGATTTTCTGCCTTGATATTCTGGGTTATATGGCTGTGTGGAAGGGCCCTTATATAATCCAGTTGAAAGCAGATAATCTGGGAACTTGTTCAAAGCAGATATTATGGGTTTTTCTGCCTTGATATTCTGGGTTACATGACTGCGTGGAAGGGCCCTGAGAGTTTACTGTCGGGAACGTCTGAACAAGTGGAAAACCTGTTGCAGGGAAAGAGAGGAGGCATACACCTATACTAAACAACCATTCTCCCTCTCACACACACGCAGGCACTCCAATACAGAGCGGGGCCTCTGTCCTCCTCCCGCCTTTCACCCGCTAGAAGAGGCAAAGGATTGGTTGACGTGTCCCAAAGGAAAGGGGAAGGGCCTGGGAAGAAGGCACGGCGTGGTGTCTTCGGGGCCGAGAAGCCTCCACACGCCCTCCGAGGCCCAACTGCCTGGGCCCTCAACCAAAGAGAGTCCCCTCTCCTTCCTTCCTTCCCTCCCTCCCGCCCCATGGTCTCTTTCTCTCTCTCTCTTTCTCTCCGCACCTTGAGGTTGGCGGAAGGCCCGCTGGAGGAGCCCGGCGGGGAGGCGACCTCGTACTCGCCGGTGACCAGCGTGTCCCGGTGGATCTCCTCCCGCAGGCATTTGCGGGCCTTGCCGGGCAGGTGGAAGGAGAGGGGCCGGGCGGGGCTGGGCAGCAGGACCAAGAGGGCCAGGGCGAGCGAGGCCGGCAGCAGCATGGCGGCGGCGGCGGAGGAGGAGGAAGGCTCGGCGGAAACTAGGCCGAGATCTCTGCCTTCGCCCGCCCCCCTCCCAACCCGGCGCCGGTCACGTGACGCGCCCGCGCGCTTTGCCTGCCGGAAGCAGCCGGAAGCCTGGATTCAAAGCGCGCGGGCACCCCAGGGGAGGGGCGGGGGGCAGGAGGATGAGGGGGAGGGGGCTCCTCCAATATGAGGACTTCACTTGGCTACAGGCGGGCCCCTAAACAAACAAAAAAGCCCACCTATGTCAGACTACACAGGGAAGCCACTGAAATCCATAAGCAAGCCTGTGCATTAGGAACAACTCATGATTAAACAATCTGATGACTTACCTGTTGCAATGGACAGGCCACTAATACTGGAATGGAGGGGAAATCAAAAGTTCAAAAATGTAGGAACACTGCCATATGCCAACATGTTTTCTCAGGAAAAAAAACATAATCTGTTCATTTGTGTGAACATTAATGTTTTACATTTTTTTCCCATGTCAGGAGCTAGTTGAGAAACTGCAGGTCACTTCTGGTGTGAGAATTGGCCGTCTGCAAGGACGTTGCCCAGGGGACGCCCTGGATATTTGATGTGTTACCATCCTTGTGGGAGGCTTTTTTCATGTCCCTGCATGGGGAGCTGGAGCTGACAGGGAGCTCATTCATGCTGTCCCCAGATACGAACCTCTGACCCGTGGTCTTCAGTCTTGCCAGCATAAGGGTTTAATCCATTGTGCCACCAGGGGCTCCTTTACATTAATTTGCAGTTAGAAAATGTATTTATTTACAACATTTATATGCCGCCCTGCTCACCCCAAAGGGGACTCAGAGGGACTTTCAAGATGTATATACATATAATATATTACATTATTAGCATAGCACAGTATCAATATTATACTATATTTATTTATTACAACATTTATATGCCGCCCTTCTCACCCCGAGGGGGACTCAGAGCGGCTTACAAGATATATATACATTATATTATTGGAAGATAGATGCTTTTGTGGTGCTGGAGGAAAGGGCCTTGGACAGCGAGAAGATCCAACCATTCCATACTTCAGGAAATAAAGCCCGACTGCTAATTGGAGGGAAGAATAGTAGAGGCCAAGATGAAGTACTTCGGCCACATCATGAGAAGAAAGGAAAGCTTAGAGAAGACAATGATGCTGGAGAAAATGGAAGGAAAAAGGAAGAGGGGCCAACCAAGGGCAAGATGGTTGGATGGTATCCTCAAAGTGACTGGATTGACCTTGAAGGAGCTGGGGGTGGTGACGGCCGACAGGGAGCTCTGGCGTTGGCTGGTCCATGAGGTCACAAGTCGGAAATGACTGAACGAATGAACAACAAATATTATATTATTAGCATAGTACAATATCAGTATTATATATTACTATATTGTACTATACCATTATATTGTAATATTAGTAATATTACATGTAATATAAAATATATAATTATTATTATATTGTATTAGTAGTAGTATTATATTGTATTACATTATAATATTATAAATATTATATGTATATACAATAGATTATATTATTAGTAAAGCACAGGAGACAAGATGGAACTGTCTTCTGCCCCCACTCTCTCTTCACTCTGGCTAGAGCAGCAGTTGTTGCCGGAGGTGGGGTGGGGTGGGGTGGGGGGCTCCCAACTGATGATATAGGCAGGAGACAAGATGGAACGGTCTTCTGCCCCCTCTCTCTTCTTATTATATATTACTATATTGTACTATACCATTATATTAACACATATATTAATGGTCAAGCTCCACTCCCCCAACTTTTTATGCTAACCAACAATTATTATGGTGTGCCATCCATGACAAGACAAGTTTGGGGCATAAAGCAGGGAACCAAAAATGGGCTGAGGCCATGATGTACAAATATCAGAACTGTGAACTCTCTCTGTTGGTGTCATAGCTAAACCACCATTCCCACCATTACCCCAGGCAAGTATATGGTTATCTGGGGAGGAAAAAAAATCCAACAAATGCTTTGTTCACCAAAGGACAAGAGGGATCTTCTCACCTCTCCAGGAGTCTACCATATACCATGCAGCTGTGGACAAATCTACCTAGAGACCACCAAACGCAGCACTGCCCAAACATAAATCAAGGAACATGAAAGGCACTGCAGACTAATTCAGCCAGAGAAGTCGGCCATAGCAGAACACTTGATGAACCAACCTGGACACAGCATATTGTTTGAGAACGCAGAAATACTGAACCACTCTACCACCATGTCAGACCAGACAGAGAAACCACTGAAATCCACAAGCATGTGGACAGTTTCAACAGAAAGGAGAAAACCATGAGAATGAACAAAATCAGTATAAAAAGCCCTCTAAAATCATAACAGTAAATAAAAGAACAACACTCAAAACGGGAATTCCAGACAATAATCAATCAGGACCAGCTAACACAACAAAGGATACACCCAGGTAGGAATCATCCAGGCCTTGAAGCTGTAAGGCTTTTCAGTGCTAATCATGGTGATTAATTGCAGCATTCACACTAGCCTCCAACAGACAAAGAGTTCTTTTTCCCACCTTGAACATTCCACAGATATATAAACCTCTTTATATATACCTCACAACCTCTGAGGATGCCTGCCATAGATGTGGATGAAATGTCAGGAGAAAATGCTTCTGGGACATGGCCATAAAGCCCAGAAAACTCACAGCAACTCAAGCCCACACTTAGCACCATCTCTCAGTCCTGAGTTACCAGATATGCGCATAATGAGACAACCTTACACATACCTGTATGGAGCCTGTCTTTCCCTCTAATAGGCATGGGCAATCTCCGGCACATGGTATCCTTCTGGGTCGTCTCATTGGGATAGGACTGGGAGGCACTGCATTTATAGTAGCTTGGGGACTTCACAGTGCCTGGGTTATTTGAAAAATACATAGTTTGTTTTGGGGTGTTAGATTATATCAGTTTGGTAATTTGTATCTCTTTTCTTAGAAAAATACTCAGTCTTTCCTGTTGTTTTTTTATGGAAATGCATTTATTAGAAAATGCATAAGAATGTGAGCAAACTTCAGTTCCCAAAATCGTGAGTCATTCAGCCCAAACCCCAACAATATTTAAAGTTTGTCATGTTGGATCTGTGTGCCAAATTTGATCCAGATCTTATCGGCGGTGTTCAGTGCTTTCTGGATAAGGATGAACTACAATTTTGAATATCAAGGTCTATTCACACAAATGCCTGCAGTATGTTAGTTGGTCATGGGGTGTCACTGTGCCAATTTTGGTCCCAGTATATTGTCGGGGGTCATAGTATCACTGAATGCAGGTGAACTACCAACTACAACTCCCAAAACCATTCCCACAAACCCCTGCAGTATGTTCAGGTTGTCATGGAGCTTCTCTATGCTATGTTTGGTCCCAGTGCATTGTTGCTGGGGGTCTCAGTATCACTGGATGCAGGTGAACGACAACTCCCATCAAGATCCATTTCCCCCAAGCATCTCCAGTATGTTCTGTTGATCATGGGGAGTATGTGAGTGAAATTTGGTTCGTGCCTGTCATTCGTGGGGGTCAGAGTGGTCTGTGGGATGTGAATTGGGTAAAGGTACTGCAAATCCCATCATCCGTAGTGCATCCTTCCCCAAACTACACCAGAACATATAGTGGATCATGGGGTGGAGGTCTGTGTGCCAATTATGGTCCCAATCCATCATTTGTGCAGGTCGCAGTGGTCTGTGGAAGTGAGTAGGGTACTGCAAATACCATCATCCATGGCAAGTTTGGTCCAGATCCATTATTGGTTGGATTCACAGTGCTCTCTGGATGTAGGTGAACTGCAACTCCCATAAATCATGGCGTATTCTTTTCAAACCTGTTATTCAGTTCTGTTCAATTCCTGTTTTTTGAGTGCCGTAGAAAAGGGTAGGCAAGGGTGAAGTGGGTGGAGTCATGCAAATTTCACACCCATGGAGAGAATAAGGAACACTGGGATAGACGGATGTAATGTAACGGCAATGCTAAACTGGCATACGCATATGACTGCCTGCCTACTTATATGCATTACATATGTAGCACAGACCTCTGCACTCTCCCTTGCTATTTGCAGAATCTTTAACTTCTGCAAGATTTACATGCCTAAAAGCATATTTCTGTAGGCCCCATTCAGTCCATCTCATCAGTAGATTATCCTGCTTATCAAGGCATGCAAATTGCATACCCATCTGGATTTCATTTGTACCTGCCAGGAGGTAACAAAACCATGTTAGATGCAAAGTAGTCCTCCTTTACATTGTTTTAAGTGTCTCTGTGTGTATACCTGTATCAGCATATAACTCTCCCCATTTATGAAGTTATTTATTGTACATCATGATCTGACTTGGCACTGACAGTCTTTAAAACCACAGATGCTGTGTAATCCTAAAAAACTGTATGTGTATGCAGAGAAGATTGCTGTATGTGCTGCAAACTCCATCTTTGAAGCTTCTTTTGTGGTGTGCTTCATGGCCAAATAAGCAACATGCCATTCAGCTTAAAATCAGCATGTTTGTTTAGCCGTTTGAACTTCAAAGGTACTTCTAGCTGCATAGGCACATTGTTTTATAGCACGTTGGCCAAAATAAACCAAAAGTTAAGTTCAAAAATAATTTCTGTCTTAAAACGGTATGTTACCGTCCCTATATTTCTTACAAGTTTTGATTGGTTTTGCCAGGAAAAGTGATGGAATCCCTAAGATATTGTTCAGACCCTAAAGAGAAGCTTGCAGCTCAGCAAAATTAGTTTTTTTGTGTGTGTTTTAATGTTAAAGATGTTATAATGTGTCTTCACTGAGCATATTGTAAATGACAGGATCAAAAAGTGTGGTCATCCATTCTTTTGTTGTAGTGAGCTTACACAAATTAAACCTTTAGTCATAAATGGTTGAATTAATAAGTGTAATCATCTATTCTTTCATCTATATGGAAATTGCAAAACTAAGATTTTAGTTTTCTTTTATCTGCATTGCATGACTTACTCAGAACAAACTTGCATATCCACACAGATTACT